AGAAAATATAGGATTTTCTAGGAAGTATTCAAACATTTACAAACATTTACATACAAACACTTACAAACTTTTACATTGAACATTTACAAACATTTTCATCAAACATATATAAACAATGACATTAAATACTTATGAACTCACCAGCTTTAATGCTGATCTACGCTTTCAAAGTAACTTGTATTCTCAGGTCACCAGTAGACAGGTACCGATGACCAGGTTTTGAGAAGACGGAGCACGTTCAAGTCTCGTCATTTATTTTGATTCATATGTTGGTGTCTTATAAACTATACAGAACACACTTATATTAAAATTATATTATTAATGCAATGGATGATGTTGTTGCTTGTTTACTATTATGCATTGTTGTGATACTGTACATGACGTCCTCCGCCCCCGAACGTTTCCGCCGTTCTGGTTTGGGGGTGTGACATCTACCCGTTACCTGTTTAACAAATAGTGACTAATCTTAAATACAACCCAAAATTCCCAAAATACCCTTATGTCAAACTTGGTCAAATCCTGGTCAAAGTCAAAACTCAAAAAGTCAACCGAGTTAACTCAGCTGAGTACGTTGGGCGTACTCAGCTTGACCAAAAAATCGAGGCATTGACAGTGTACGTGCTGCGTACCATTTGGTACGCCCAACGTATGCGCCTGAGCACCTCACCTTCTTATTAAGAGCTTAATCCTTTAGCTCTCTTGCTCATATTCCAGATCTAGACCTTAACTCACGTCCTTAACCATAAAGTTTCTAACTTTATGGTATAGCATGGCTAGGTAGTGCCCAATAACAAAAACCCTAACTACTTAACCCATTAAGACCTTGTAACTCATATATGGAAGGAATCTAACAATCAATATTATATTTTTATGCTTCTAGATGCCTCAAAACGTTTTCAAGGACAACTTATATGGATTAGAGTAACCCATACTCATAATACCAAGCTTATGGGACCAAAAGAACACCATTTCATAACTAAACAAGATCTAAATAATTCTTAGTCAAGTTCAGAGCTTTTTACCTCCAAGTGATGCCAAATGATGTTGTTATTCTAGATCCAAAGAGTCTCACTCCTCCAATATGATCTTCTCATCTTCCTCTCTCCTTCAAGGTCACCAAAACACAAAAAAAAAATGCTCAAGAATGCTCTAAAATGGATTAGGGTTTGCTTGTGGACGCAAGTGGGTTGGACGCTAATGAAAGAAGGCAGGTTGGGGACTTAAGGATGCTTAAATAGAGTCCAAACCCTAAATATTATGGTTTAGGGTCGTGACATGTATGCCCAACGTAAGCGTGCCTGGGGGAATGCCCTACATACGCAAGCTGGCCCCAATATTTATGAAAATGCCATTTAGTCTAATTTGTAGTTTAGTCTCATCAAAGGTCAAAAATGAAATTACTTCTCATACTTAGGGTTTAAAATGAAAATACCTCAATATCAAGATGTTACATATTTTGCTACAGAATGAAAATTTGTAGCTATTGGAAGGAGACAAAGATCTTCACCGGCGTATATTTTGCAACGTAGAAAGGTATAAAAAGTGAAAAAGGTTGTCCATACGTTCGGTTATACCTTTCACTAGAACGCATTATTTAGCTTTCCAAGCTTTAAGATTGTACGCTTCAAAAGAAACGACCGTTTCCATGCGACAAAAGGCCGAGTATCATCGCCACGATGTTGGGGTTAGTGTGGCTACTTATGTGACTGAATGTCTTGCATGATATATGCATGTTTCCATATGTGTGTATTTGAGATTGACTTACCGTGCTGATGCTTACACTTGTTTCTTTTCTTGCATTGGTACATGATATATGCATGTTTCCATATGTGTGTATTTGAGATTGACTTACCGTGTTGATGCTTTCACCTTGCATTGGTACATGTAGTACGGTTGATGTCTTGGTGAGGATGAAAACTTTTTGGGTAGCTTTATCTTAGATGTTATATTAGCGATGATACCATCTTAGATATGTCTCGAGTTTTCTTATACTTTTGGTTTTTGCAAACTTATACTTTGGTGTGGTTTGTTTTTTTTTTTTTTTAAAGATTTTTAAGTAACGTTGGTGATGTTTTCAAATAAACTAAAAATAAGACTTTTGTTGCATTATCTTGTTAAAATGTGTTTTAAAAT